GCCATCCAGATCACTCCCAGAACATTCATTAGGATGAGGTCTAAAAAGTTTACTAATTAATGTCAACAAATATACTCGTAAAAAGATAGTCCTACACAGTTATACAGGTTAGCCATGGGAACAGAAAAACTTCAAAAAAAAAAAAAAAGAACTAGGATGGAACTTTTTTTCCTTGACATCCAACCACAATTTCACAAGCGTCAGAGAATATCTGGGAGGAAAAGTTCAACCACCATGTATGATACAGTTGAAAAGTTAGCTCACACTATCATATGAAATACCTACATGTGACTATGGAAAATTAGTATTGTATTCTTTGTTATTTTAGTTTTTGCAAATTTCATGGCCTTATTAACTATTTTTAAGCCTTTGTAAGCAAAAACTGAAAAGTTGAAATTTAAAAAAAAGAATCATCTGAATGCATAAATTTTCTTCACCAGTTAAAGGGAAAAAAGTGTAGTTGAAGGATGTTATCATGATAAAACCGATGAACATTTCACTTACTAGATTGACAAAAAGAATATCTTGAATTCTAGTGAAAGCTAAGGTAGAAATAAGAGAATTGAAGATGTAACTAGAGGAGACCAACATTGTATCATCTAGCATCAGTCATGCATGCAAAGGAAAATTTTAGTATAGACATACTTGCATGTGTTCTTTTGGAGTCAAAAATCACATCATTGTAAATAGATCAGTTTCTATCACCACCTAAGAAATGTATCCTGTATCATTGGGCACCATACTAAAATAAATAAGCTCCTTCATGACCTAAGAAATATGTGCCATATATGATCATACAAGAAACAAGAAAATATGAAGTAGCAAATACAATGGCTGACCTCTTTCCTTTCTGTGGAAAAACAACACAATCCACCATGTGGTGCAAAGCTGGCACATCTACAGCCCTTAAAACTCGCATATCTCCAGGATGTAGACAAGGATTTTTGGCAATCACCACATTGCCCTGAACGACATGTAAGCCATTGCCACTGGATATTTGCAAGGAATCAGCAGAGACCTCCCATCTGTTGGCACCAGAATATTGCACAAATACCTGACCATATTCCAATTTCCCAGTTTCATCCAGGCATCCCATCATAGATCTTCCATCTCGAATGAATATCCTTGTTTTAGTTCGTAAATCGTGCAGCTTTGCTGCACAAAAGCTTCGTAACATCATCGAAAGAAATGGTTCTGAATCTGGCTTGTAACCACAGTTAAGCATTTCTCTAAGGAAGTGCATGTTCTCCCCTGGGGACATCAACTCGAGTGCGTCCTGTGCCCTCAATGAATCTGTTAACATAGCATCCAGCTGAGCTAGAGCCTCTTTCTGCTTCTTTCTAAAACAATCATCTTTAACCCCAAGGCTGGACATAAGGGTGATCAACTGACGATTAAGAAAGTAAGGTTGATACTTACTCCATGCCAAAACATCCAAGTTAGTACTATCAGACTTGAATTTGTCCATACTCTTTCTGAAGGATAATTTTACGGACGATTCAGGATCAATTGCCACAACACCTTTGTATCCACCATAACGGATCTGAAAGGCTGAAGGCGTATAACCATTACAACCACATTTTTTAGCAACTACTTCAGCCAACTGCTGAGATATCTTTCCAATTCCATCAGAGAAAACATATTTAATCCCATCTCTTGTAGCTTCTACATCAGAAATCACTTCAATTTCCTCCCTACTAACATGTAAAGTTTCTCTTGATGAGCTGAAAGATTGACCAAGTCTGGCAGCATATTTTGCTACATTTCGTATCTGACGAAAATCACCTATCCGTTCTCTGATATCTGCTGCAGTAAGTCCCGGTCTTGAAGCAAACATCCATACAGAATTTTCTCTTACTTGACTTGAAGAGAAGGCAAGAAACTTGAATTTCTTGTCACCAATAATAATGCCATTTCTGAGAATTGACAGTATCCTTTGATAAATTCTAGTTCTTCTTTCCTCATCCACAGGAAGTATTTCTTTATCTGCAGATGATAAGCGTGGACACAAATCTGCGGAATACATCTTTCCCAGCTCCTCATCAACAAAAGAAACACGAAGGAAATTATTGATATCATCAGGATAATTGCGCAACACCCGATTGGACAGGTTCAGCTCTGGGCCACAGAAATATACTTTACATGGGGTTACTTGAACTCTCCGAATGTAAACCAATCCCTCATCTAAGGCAACAGATGGAAAAATAGTCAGTCGGCTTGACCTCTGATATTCCTGATATTGCTTACTAAGCCACCTTAAAGGTTCATAGCAACATTCTTTCAAGTTATATAGTTTCTCAAGAGCATGTTCAATGTATGCAATGTTTACTCTCTGTGGATCAACCAAATTAAAGAAACCAGAACTTAGAGCTGGTCCTGGAAGACAACCGTGCTGAACCAAGGAGTTAACCTTAAATAAGATTTCATATGGCAAGTTTACGCCTTGGGGTGGGCTCACTACAGAGACGAGATTTTGATTACAAGAGAAACTAGAACCTGTCTCCAGAATCCACTTTCCTATCCTTTCTTTATAATAGCCAAAGGCTTTCTGAAAATCTGAAAGTTGTCTCCAACATCGAAGCTCCAAGCATATAGCAGAAGATTGCCCAATGCAACAGGATGGAGTAAAATCAACTTGCCTCACCCATTGGTCATCAGTAGCCTCTTTGAAGTAGCTGAGAGCAGGTACATCTTTCTCATAAATTCGTGGAGCACCGAGTAACTAGCAAGAGAAAGATAAACACTAAGGAAGAATATCCACAATCTCCCCTATTCAACAGAAGCTAAAAGCAACTTTTAACATTTTCAAATGGAAAGCAGATTCCGCTTGAACCTTTTAATGGATTCCTTAGAAGGAATAAAGAATTATTATTTTTTTAATTGAACCAGTTTGCTCATATGATTTATTTTAGTTTTATTTTTCCTTAATAAAATCATTGGGAAACCCTGCTTATTCTGAATGATGGTGTGAGATAATTCACCAGCTCCTCTTTTTATTAACAAAATTAATGTCTTCTGCTACAATTATATGATTTCCTGCACTGTGTTCTACAATATGCATGTTAGTGTCAAGTTTAAATGTAAACAAACTATTAAGACTTCATTACTATGATCCACTTAACGTTTTTGAGATAAAAGTTTTAAACTTTAATTTACAATAAAGGTAAATTTTAAATTAAAAGTATTTATGGATATAATTTACTTAAAAACTTAATTAAGAGAGAAAAAAAAGATATGTTTAAGAGAATTATTTTTAATATAATAAATAATTAAGTACTATTTTCTTTATTTCAGTAAGCACAAACATTTAGGGTTTGCAAATTATATCAAGTAATTTTCTCTCTTCTAACATTTCTAGCCATATATGTACATAGAGAAGTCAAGTAACATCCCGCAATAACCACAAAATTAAAGGGGAATGAATAAATTTTTGAAGGAAAAATCTTAAAGTAGATATTGAGTTTAATTTTCAATTGAAGCTTGTGTAATTGACCTAAATATTTCCTATAGATACTTGGAATTTTAGTCATGATGGAGTTCTTCCAGTAAAAAATTTTGGACTCCGTAAGTAAGTTCATCTTAATTGGATCATGCAAGAAATTTCGCAACTATCTTCATTCTTTAGGTTAAAAAACATATAACAAACTATGGACTGGAGTGGACTGCCAATCTTAATTAAAACAAAATGTATAATAAATTATAAGAGGTAACCAGTTCAATATTTAAAAAAAAAAAGGTTATGTATTCATTCTAAGGAATAGATTAGTTCTCCCAGTAAAAAGTTTTGGACTCCGTAAGTAAGGTCACACTTAATTGGTTAATGCAAGAAATAATTTTGCAACTACCTTCATTCTTTAGGCTAAAAAGATGAAAACTTTTAACATAAGAACTTGGGGACGAAATGACAAACCTATAAATTCAGCATGGTGTACCTGAATGATGAAAAAATTTTTTGTTTGACCACGTGGCCGATGTAGCTCAATCTTCCAAATGTTATCAAAGGAGAGCACAAGCTTGAAATCCGTAGAAAGATAAGACAGAAAAAAGTACATCTTTCTCAAACCAAATCTTACTAGAACATTTGCTTTCTTCCAGAGAACAGAAAACCTTTCCTCTGAAATCTGACATCCAAAGTTCACTGTGACATTATCTATGCTATGCCGAAAAATCCTTGGCTCTGGTGCAATATTGTAGTCCATAAATGAAGTCTTCAAACAAGAATTTTCAAACCACAGGGAACGTTTATTAGCCAAGAAATCAATATAGCAAGCGCTTTCTGCGGATATGAATTGAACTTTGGCACGTGCTCTTAACATTTCATTTTTCGGTGGCACAACCTCTAAAGCATAAATAGTTCCTTTCCCTGTATGTCTCTCCAGAAATGTCTTTAGAGATTCAGGAGATACAACGGAGGCAAATCCGTACAAATTAATTGTCTCACCCATTCTGTAATGATTTTTAACTGCAGTTTCTATATACAAGATATTTAGTAAGTACGACATATAAAGATTCCAAAGAGGATTGGAACTTGAAACTAAAAAATTCCTTAAGTTGAAGTTAATAGCATACTGTCTAACATGCCAAAGCAGCACAGACACACACTAGGAGAAAAAACAAAAAAAAAAAAAAAACACCATGCTATACCAGATACAGGATTTTTTTTCATGTAATGATCCAATGAGTCACAAACAACCATAAGATCTTATATACAATTTCCTTGCTTCATAATAAGCAAGATTTTGTGCAGCAGGGATCTTTGCAACAGACTGGCTCTGGAATGCCATTTGAAAAGATGTGCCCCTTGCAGGCAGACTACTTTGATTATCAACAAAGCAATCATCATTTTGTCTGATCTCAGGATAAGATGTACTAAAATTTTATTCATCATTTTCACCAATGCACAATCTCCCAAAATTGACTTGACACATAAAATGACGAGGTAGTAACACTAACAAGAAAAAGTTAATTAAGCAGGGAGATTAACAAAAGTTCCTATAAACTTGAACTCCATCTGTTTGCGGCTAAAAAGTTCTTGCCGATAATTTATCATTTTTTTTAATGCAACAGAGAGCAAACCCACATCTCTACCCATCGTTTGATGCATTACTCTAAAATTTTATGTAAAAAACATTCATTTCAACATAATGAAATCATCTACTTATAAGGAAACCTGTCAACAATGTTAAGCAGAAGTGGATGAGATATTTATGTACTTCTAATTCGAATGGAGTTTTGTTGTTGGCTTGTAATTTTTATCTATTCACTCAAACATTTCTAAGATAAACTGACATTTTTTTAGTTTTAGTAGGAATGAGGACTAACATATTATTTTTGTGGAATTTTTTCCAGACCTAAATAATGCATCAAAATTTTCAATGGAGAAGTCCGAATGCCAATGAGGTTGCCTAGGCTATTAGTAGAGCAGATTACCAAACATGTCTTGTCCATGATGTTAGAATGTAAAAAATCAAAGGTATAAAATAATTTATTTCATTTAAAATGTACATATTTGTCAAGAATTTAACAGTGAAGCAGAAGACTCTTAGTTCCACTGTTAAATATAACTGAAGCTTACCCTGAAAGGATTATCGGTTAAAAGAAAACTTATCTAGCCCCAATCTTATCAATCTCTAGTAAATAACTCTCAAGATTAAAAGAAAATTGAATGTCAAGGGCTTTTGTTGGGAAGTGTTCTTCTTTTTGGCATGATTAGAAAATGAAAACGAAGTAAAGCTTTTTACTCGAATTTCAGAAAATCCAAAAAACTAGCACCAAAACTATATAACTTACATTACTGATCATAAGAAAGTAGACTTGAAAAGAATCCAGTTAAGACCATCATAAATTATTCTCAAAGATCAAGAACATTAAAAGCCGCTCCAACCTTCTCATAACTCACATTAGAAAGAGAAAAAAGAGCCATCAACATCTTCTGCCACACAAGAAGCTGAATCGACCACAAAACTTGGCTAGTTCACTTATACAAGGAAGAATAGCTTATAAAAAGAGTTGAGATCAAGGTTATCTCCTACAACAGTGGTTATCATGCCAATAATTTAACTCGAGCTTAAAAATTGATCATATCTAAAATAACAAAATATGAAGAGAAATAAGCGAAATGCAATTGAATATAGAAAATGAAACTAACCAGAGAATGCAGAGAAAGATGACAGCTACTATGAAAATTCAAAAGAGACCTTATGCCCTATGATCAAGGGAGCACACATACAATATATATATACACATACATACAGAGAGAGAGAGAGAGAGAGAGAGAGAGAGAGAGAGTGCGTGTTTCTCTTATTCAAATTGAAAAGAGAGAGGAAAAGGCTGGTGCTTGTCCAGAGAAGAATTCCTCGTACGTGATAGGTTGAGGGGTAATGATCCTATCCATCGCAGGAGCATCTTTAGAAACAGCCACGTCGGTGATGTTGCACGTTTCGTGCTGTGGTTGGTCTTGCATAAAAAAGTCAAAGAGTCAGAGCAAAAGGGTTTGTCGCGGTTCTCCGGTCGTTTCCTTCGTTAGTCTCCGGCCGTTGACGACCAATGATCTGATACGGTGATCCTCACCGAAATATTAACGGAAGAAAATCAAACATTCAACATTATTGGTTGTTTCCTGAAATTCTGGAAGGTTCCATCCGACGTGGCGACACGTTATTGGAAGTTTCATTAAGTATCCGGGGGAAAATAAATAAAATATTTTTTATATGTTTTTCTGAGTTAATTTTTTTAAAATTAAATTTCAAAATGTCATTAAATTATATGATGAAGTTACTTATAATTTCCTAATTAAATTGAGTCACATGTAATTTATATTTATAGTTTTTTTTTTTTAAAAAAAAAAAAAAAGAGAGAGAGGGAGAGAATCCACTATACATGTCAGAAAAAAATTCAGAAATAAAGAGAATTATTTTAGAAATTAATTCATTAATTAAAGTATAATATTTTAAATAAAATAAATATTTTATTAGGTAAATAATTATAATAAAAATAAAAGTAGACTTGAGGTTGACCAATTTTGTAAATGAAGGAAAATTAAGAACTTGGCGGGGAAGGAGTTTGATGTGACCCAATCACTCTTCGCATCTCTTCTGTCAAATCCTTTAAGGTTACCCTTGGCTGGGAAGAAAGGTATCATCTACACATCCAATTTACTGTTACCGTTTAGTTTATACGTTTCCCCTCAATTTTATTTTTTTAAATTTAATTTTATATTTATTTCATAAACATTTAATTCTCAAAATTTTATATCTATTTTCAAAACTATTCTCTCTCCTAACATAAAATCATTAAAAATACATTTAAATTTTAAACTAATTAATAACCAATTTAAAAATAAAAAAAAAATTGAACATTTTTTTTAAAAAAAATTGTTTCTTTAATTATTTTTAAACCGTTTTTTTATATATAAAAAAAATAATAATCTCATATAATTATATTAATTTTATTATTATTATTATTAGTAGAAACATTCAACATTATTGGTTGTTTCCTGAAATTCTGGAAGGTTCCATCCGACGTGGCGACACGTTATTGGAAGTTTCATTAAGTATCCGGGGGAAAATAAATAAAATATTTTTTATATGTTTTTCTGAGTTAATTTTTTTAAAATTAAATTTCAAAATGTCATTAAATTATATGATGAAGTTACTTATAATTTCCTAATTAAATTGAGTCACATGTAATTTATATTTATAGTTTTTTTTTTTTAAAAAAAAAAAAAAAGAGAGAGAGGGAGAGAATCCACTATACATGTCAGAAAAAAATTCAGAAATAAAGAGAATTATTTTAGAAATTAATTCATTAATTAAAGTATAATATTTTAAATAAAATAAATATTTTATTAGGTAAATAATTATAATAAAAATAAAAGTAGACTTGAGGTTGACCAATTTTGTAAATGAAGGAAAATTAAGAACTTGGCGGGGAAGGAGTTTGATGTGACCCAATCACTCTTCGCATCTCTTCTGTCAAATCCTTTAAGGTTACCCTTGGCTGGGAAGAAAGGTATCATCTACACATCCAATTTACTGTTACCGTTTAGTTTATACGTTTCCCCTCAATTTTATTTTTTTAAATTTAATTTTATATTTATTTCATAAACATTTAATTCTCAAAATTTTATATCTATTTTCAAAACTATTCTCTCTCCTAACATAAAATCATTAAAAATACATTTAAATTTTAAACTAATTAATAACCAATTTAAAAATAAAAAAAAAATTGAACATTTTTTTTAAAAAAAATTGTTTCTTTAATTATTTTTAAACCGTTTTTTTATATATAAAAAAAATAATAATCTCATATAATTATATTAATTTTATTATTATTATTATTAGTAGAAACTGAACTCTTCAAATAAACATCAAATTTTGAAATTTAATTTGTTCTGAGGCCTTTAAACATTTTTTTTTTTCCTCAAATTTAAGAGTGGTGACTTTTCTCATAATGATTTTAAAAAGTAGTAACTATTAATATGTTATGAAAAAGAAACAACTTTAATGGCCAAACAGTAGCTTCGTCAAATCTTCCTTCCCTACCTGTAAAATGTTTCTTATTTTACTTCAATCTAATCTAATCTTCCTTCCCTGTACCTATAAATGTCTCTCACCCTCGTTCTGTTGTCATCGAATCTTTCATTACATAACCATGGATTACAATAAAAAGTTATGGATATATTATAGTAGCATAAATATTATATCATTACACCCATTTTGCAATAATGTCAATTATACTGCAGTGTATCTCAAACCATGTTCTAACATTTCAACAACCTTTTAAATTTTAGGTTAAAGTTTCGATGAGAAATCTCCACTTAAAAAAGAGACTAATTTGCAAATATTTTCACATTAAATAAATCAGGTGAAATATTTGTCAAAATCTCCCAGGCATGTCTTATTTATACTCAAATTCTAACATCGTAATCTAAAAAGCAAACAATTTTGTATTTCAAGCTATAGATCGATCCCAGAGTAGTATGTACTGATCTCGTGAAAGACAAATTAAAATCTATAAACACCAAACTAGTGTTTGGGATCTTATGGAATTGCTTGGAGATTCTAAACAAGTTATATGTCAATAGATCTTTAAGACCAAAAATTTTTAAGGATTTAGAATTTTTGGGCTTCTAACTTCCCTAGGGCTCAGTTCAAAAAAACAAATAACAACTCTGAATTCGGAGATTCCTGTGTCATATTTTCATTGCGAAACAGTAATGCTATTGCAAAGGAAATATGCAAAATCAACGGCAAAGCCAAACCGGAGATAAAACGAGTAAGAAAAAAGAAATTAAAAGAATTATCAAACCTTCTAAATTAATTTGACTTCCAGGGCATATGCGCGTAGACTGTATCCCAAAACTATCAGATACCATCATCCTTGTAAGTTACATTACAATACTATTTCAACAAAATCCCTTCTTAAACAAAGGTATAAATCTCATAAGTAAACTACCCAAATAGATACCAATACAGCTATAACTCTTTAGGAAGCAAAAATGAAGAGACTGCAAGAATTGAACAAATCTTAGCAGAAGCACGATCATCTGCAGATGATACACTACTACAAGCGACTTAAAATCAGCCCACCTGACCGTATCAACTAACCCGTGCAAAGATAAAACCTCATCACTAAAGCCAAATGTGGATTAGACCAGCATCTCAGCAATCTGAACAGCATTGAGTGCAGCTCCTTTGCGTATCTGGTCACCACAGACAAAGATATCCAACCTGTTTTGAAGAACTCCAGTAATGTTATTACGATATGAAAACGACGAGCAATTATCGAAAGAAACACAGACCAGCTATGCAAAGTTTTACCCATAATTTCCATCCTGAGAAACATCACGACGAATCCTCCCAACTGCAACGTCATCTTTGTTTGATACCTCCAATGGTGTAGGGAACCGATTAGAGGACCGATTATCAATAACCACCACTCCAGGAGCATTCTTTAGAATATCCCTTGCTGTGTCCTAAAGAATAAAAATAACATCAAAAATTTACTTGATAAAGCTGATAATAGAAAACATTTTTTTACATGCAACAGTTGGTACAGCAGAAACAAAATCAAATCTAGGCCATAAGGCCATATTCAATCATGCACCAAAAGGCAAGATTTCCGTTTGACTACAAAACAAAGAGAGCTCAAAGGGTGCAAGTATACATAAATTACATTATTGGACAGCATTAATATTAAAATTCTAAAACCTCTCTGGTTCCAAATTTTTCAGAATAAGTCAAAGGATGAAAATGCCAACAGAAGGTAAGCTAAGGATGGAATCAGCTTGTCTCAAATTAATTATTTTATTCTTGCTTGAACATTTTTGTCTGATTTAATGGAAAAACTAACTCATAACAAAACTCAGAACCAGAAAACCTCAAGTCTCAATTTGGGAAGAACAAAAAAGTCCTGCAGTTCCTCCCTTGCACATGCAATCTAGAAAAGGAAGAATAAAATAATAGATTTTCTACAACTGGCAATTTAATCATACTTTATTCTATCTAGTAAAAAGGATGAACAA